CAGCCCCGACTCAGACAACCCCAGCTGGGGAGCCGTCCTAATGGTCTCCCTGAGGTGTCTGGAGCTGGAGGAGCAGAGGATGTGGTTGATTCTTTAAATGATGTTTCTTCACAAACAAATCTTAGCCAGTCACAGAAACACGTCTTAGAAAGAGGTACATGCAGAACTCATGCACGCAAAAAAAAAAAAAAAGTGACAATCTTTTGCAGACTTAAGCTTTTTTTTGTTTGTTTCATTGTTGAAAAATTACTTCTTTTCTTCTTAAACTTCTTCTGTTTTCAACAGGGATATTGTTCATCCTTCCTTCACACTCATGTTGTATAACTGTACGCAGGCATGAGGGGTGAATGACTGACTGCATACAGCAGCAGACTGTCAGCATTTGATTGGTTCTTTATTGATCCAGACACGCTTTCCATCACATCAACTCATCCACAATAAACCATTTACACAGTTTCCCTGTGCAATGGAGCACATAACCAGGCCTCAGGCCATCTCTGTGCACCAACTGGGCGTGCGTGTGTGTGTGTGTGCGTGTGCCTGTGTGTGCCTGTGTGTGTGTGTGTGTGTGTGCCTGAGCATTTGTGTGTTTTCTTTAATGAAATGGTATCTCCATGGCCAATAATCCCAGTAACAGGATTGGGCAGAACACACATGTCAATACAGGCAAATAGGATTGTATGCTTTTATCATGCCACACCAACACATCTTGTTTCTCACTGCCTGCTGATGTCTCTCTCTACGTAGTGCAGCAGCACGGCAGGATACGTCTCGCAGGAATATCACATTGATTATATCTAGTTCTTCAAAAATGGTCTAAAACATGGCCTCTAAAGGAAATCTGAATCATGACAGCGTGTGAACCTCATGCCAGTTGGCATAATATGTAATATTCTTTCTACCCCACTAAAGAGAAACCTACACAGTGTTTCCAGTCAGGCTGGAGCTGACCCCCTCCTGTGTAGCCCCTAATCATCCAAGAGGACTCTATTACAACGGCCTGGCAGCTCATCTAACCTCACAGTGAAGAAGGGTGGGGGGGGGCGGGCGAGGAGATTGGGACCTCTGCTCCTCTTTCTTTCCACATGGTTGAGCAGCACACACACATACACACAGGCTTCCTAGGTGTACAGCAAAGCTGCCCGCCTCTTTGGGCTACACCAGATAGGAGATGGAGCATCTGACCTTATGTCTGGCTGCAGGAGAGAAACCGATACCGAAGTAACAGTGCCTGCTGTACTCACACATAGCACCAACCAGCCATTCTACGGTGTGTCTGCTAAATGGTAATGCTGATGTCTCTCTTGCAGGATTTGTCTCTTGGGTTAACCCCCAAGCTGCAGGATTGAGCTCCTGGTCACATTAGGCAAGGCTCAGCTGAGAAGGAGGCAACGCCAGTCCCACATCTCGTGCCTGAACCACTGACTGCTGGTGCCTGGTCAAAAGTTCAGCTTGTGCATATGTAAAAAGGTGGCTGGGTGCCCGAGGCAGGATCTTGGGTAAAATAATCATGCAAAAACGCTAAGAAGCATGGGACTAGGCGTGAGCGCTGATGAAACCGGCCTCTGGGAGAATCGAGGCGTCTGATTGGACCAGTAGAGCCTCTTAGGCCTGTGCCCACAGCACCCCTCCCCTCTCTTTACCCATTATAGTGGATGATGTACTGGAGCCACTGCCCACACACTGGTCTCCATTCAGCTCAGCACTGTCTCTGCCTATAGTTAAGGTATATACTTGATGGGTATAGGCTGAGCCCAGCTGCTCAGAGCCTGAGGGTATACCGATCTTGAGGGAGCAATCAGTCAGTCAACAAAATGTCACAGGGTCAGCGATCCAGCATGACAGGACGGTGACAACTTCACAAAGGTTACAGCCAAATTAATAACTGCAACAGTCACTGAAATTCATTATGTGCTGTTTAAAAGTGTGCCCAGAGTTCAGATTCAAAGGAAACCATCTACAATCTAGAAAGACCCACAAATCCTACAATGTTTGATCAAATAAATCGACCAAGATCTGCATCAATCAAACTTTTCTGCATTAAATTGCTCTAACTAAATCACTTGATAGCAGATGTTTTTTTGCCTCTCTCGCTCTCTCTTAGGTCTCTCTCTCTGTCACACACACACATACACACACAGACATACACACACACAACTTCAGGCCAGATCATTTGGTGCTGATAATCACACCAAAGGACACAGGCAAAACTCCCACACTAAACACGCTGAATTAAAGAAACAGGAGTTACAGGCCTGGTTGCACAATCTCTGATAAGTAGATCAAGGCACAGGGAGGGGAACATGATGTTAGTGAGAGATAGTTTGGCTGATTAAAATGTCATGGCTCTTTATAGATGTCTTTCTCAACTCAGCAAAATTGAATCAGTTCTGTGCATCAATAGCAGAGTGGGCTGGGGCTCCCTGCTAATAGAGAAGTTTCTTTCTCTTAAGTTCAAACCACAACACAAGGAATGCAAAAGCGAGGAAGTCACACATGTTTTGATTAGACGTGACCAAAGTACGGCAACAAGAAAAGAGACAAAAAAAGCGTGCAAGTTCAAAGATAACATAAAAGAGCAGGAAACAATTAATAAGGGGCGAAAACATGGGTGTGATTAAATGACCGACCACGGCACATATAGCCCTACATGACATTTGATCACCTTTACAATAGCAGTCAATTAATGACTTGGGATCACATGTAGCTCCAGGTGTTCCAGCCGTCTCTGTGTTGCGAATTCATGCGTGTGCTTGTCCATGTGTGTCTGTTCGTGTTGAAAAGCTCTATTTTACCCCACCTGTGCTCATATAAATCAAACCTGTGCTTTAAATGAGGGGCTGGTTATTTGCGCAAGAACACACATGGGGGCTTTGTGATTGTTTTTTGGAGTCAACATTCTGCTTATGTTTGCATCCCAGAACAATCTCCATGGATCCCGCAAGCGTACGCAAGCAATTAAAGCGATAGCATCTTCATATCCCTGCAACCAATAACTGAAATAATATCACTGTTTTATTAAGCCCTTAATGTGGGGGCAGAAGGAGTGAGGAGTGGGATTTTAAAGAGGATACACTTTCAGGGGCCTTATCAAGCCCAGATTTAAATAAGAGCAAATGCTCAGCTTAGGGGTGCGTCTGTGTATCTGTGTGAGTCTGTGCGTAAGGCTGTGTGTCTGCGTGTGGCCTTTATCAGACATTAGCTTTAGCTAATCGCTGTGTCAGCACACCAGAATTTAATTACTAGCTCTACCTTTGTCCTTTAATATTTACTAACATCTACACTTCATTAAATTAATGACATATAAAATTTAAAAAAAGAAAAAGAAAACCCTCTGCTAATTGGTTATGTGTGCTTGCTCCTAAAATGTTAGCACCCATTCCTTAAGATACATGAAAAAATACACAGAAGTATCATCCAGACTAGGGTAGCATTCCAAATAATGTGATTAGAAGGAATGCTGGACAAACTTTGGCTTTTACGAATGAAACACGGGACGAAGTGATTAAAAAATTAATTCTAAAATAAAGAGACTGGACGCAAAAGAGTGCTTTGTGACAGAAAAAGTCAAACTGAGGAAATATTCAGCCTGGCATTTTGCAAAAAGGTGCTGAGGAGCCGTTCCTCTCATCTCTCATCCTATGTCAAATGGCGGAGAGACAAATGACGGCCCGAGGCCTTGCGTCTGTCAAACATGATGGATCAGAACAACGCTTCACTAAAACTCCACCACGCTGCCTTTCAACATCACATTTTCACTTCAGTGCAAACACTAAATTGATAAAGTATGAAGAACAGCTAATGGAAAGATGTAATAGTCAAACTAAAGCATATATTAGGAGGCTATGGAGCCTAAAGGGTAGAGTGCTGCTATCCATTGAAAAGTCTTAGAGAGCACAGGACACAATATGGACTGAAATAAATCACGGTGCTGGATTTTATCGTTCATATCTAAAGCGTGTGAGGACGTTAACCTCAGGCACCTTATATCATCTCGTGCGCACACACATATGTGCTATTAAAACGTTCCCACACATACAAATCATGCAGATGCTTACACATTCACAACAGTTGGTGTCTGAGCCACACTGTAAAGGTTAAACCCTTCACGGGAGTTTAGCTGTAAGTTGTCCGATATCTTATGATCCAACCAGATGCCACAGCGGATGCTGTATGCATGTGTGTATAGCTGAAGTAGTGCTGGGCAGCTTCATTACTGTAATCCCCAAAAAAGACACTGTATCACAAAAGTGCTGAGCCAAACTCAAAATCCTTCCTTAATGCCATCCTTCCAAAACTGGGTAGGAGTTCTCAGATCAGCCACAACTCAGGTACAGATGCTAGAGGTTCTCCTATACTGTGCGCTTGTGTCTGTAAAACAGCAGTGGCCTTGCAATGGCACCCCACACAAAACTATACCCATCCAAAATATACTGATTGGTCGGGGAAACTTAAATCACTGCAACAACAAAGAGCTGCCACATTCAGTAAAAATGTATTAGGCACAGAACTTTTTTTATTTTAGTACTTAACTGCATAGGAGCTAGGGCTGGGATTAGGCATTAACAGCAGCCTATAATAGTCGCGGTTCTCTGGAATAGAGTACTGAGAGGATAGAAAACTGTCTTTCAGGGTTAAACAAACAGTGCCATGCAGAAGAGGAAAACAAACCACAAATATCTCTCTATCTATTAAACCCAGACTCTTTCCCTGAGCCTTCAGCAGATCTACCCCTCTCCATCCTGTTCCTGTCCTCTCTCCCAGAAATGTGCCAAGACAAATACGCCGGCTCTGTAAGCGCTATATGAGAGTCACAAATTCACAGACTGGCTTTGCATTTAGAAAAATATAACTAGCTGCAGAATTACTCCGGCGCAATGAAAAGTAATGTCAAATGTTAACCAGTCGAGCGTTTCAGCGAGCCTTCAGGCAGGCTGAGCTACAGCCTGCGCACTTGTGAGGTAATATAACACTTTCTTCAAGCTTCTTTTCTCGCTTACCATAGACTTTGTGAAAGGTCTGGCCAGTGTGAAGAGAAAGGTCATCAGCCACCAGCTCCGGTGTATGGAGGTGTACATCATGTTCCCAGGATGCAATGCGTTGGAGGTGACACCGTAAGGCGAAAGCCGCCGGTGGAGCTCGTTGCTGAAGAGGATGTTGCAGAGTTTGGCGCGGTTGTAAGCCAGCATGGACCAATAGTCCTTCTTTGAGGGGGACAGCAGCACAAGGTCCACTTTGCCACATGAGTCTAGGAGGTCTGTGAACCTGAAAGATAGTTTGCATTAAGAGTAGTTAGTGTGAGTCTGCCTCGGCCTGCGCGTAGGCTTTCCGCCGGCAGATGTGTGGCGCTTTCTGCATACAAATCAAAGACGTGACATGATGTTCTTTAATTGCCTGCGACAGAGCTGTTAAAATCCAGATGTTTGACAAGGCCCCTTAAACATTACACTACTCGTTGTGTTATTACACGCTCACACAAAAATCTCAATACACGAAAACTACACTGTGTATTTATGCGTCTGTGTGTGTACGTATGTGTGAGAGGCGCGGGATGAGGCTCCAAACCAGCGGAACACATCCTACATATTAATCCAGTCATTAGAAAACAACCAATCAAAATGTCACCTGGTTTCCTTGTTGTGATTTTACAAGCTCGCTGCCTCTTGTTTACTGTCGCCTTCCGCAACATCCTTGCTTGGCTAAATTACAACATCTGCAGGCTTTTCATTTCATGTGCTGCAACTTCGTAACTACTTCAGCAAGTAGAGGTTAATAAATCAATTGCCTCGACGCTAAAGCCTTTTTTTTTTTTTGTAAATCAAAATTTGTTTGCACGACAAGCCGAAGCTGTGCCTCGTTACAATTGAATGAGGTCTCGCAGTGATATTAATGTCGAGATTTTGGTTTTCAAACATGTCGTTTACTGTCTCTGAGCTGCAGCTTAGATATTTCAGAGGTAATTTCATTAAGGATATGATCTCTCGTTTGACCAGATCTGATGTAGTACTAGAGTAAAGTAAACCTGTATTGGGTCAATTCCACAGTAAGCCCCTGTGGTGGAAACTGATAAAGTGTCCAGCCATTACTCCTGCGTCCATCTTTTCCATTCCTGTCCCTTACAGGTCACTGCTTTACCAAGCGGACAAGGGGCTTAGGGAATACAATATACTGCCAGGTCATGGGTCACCCACTGCCTGTGAGGGGAGGCTAAGTAAGTAAACATGAAATCAGCGGAAAGTGAAAATAACACAAGCAAAAAAGGGAGGGACTTCAGTGGATGTAATATAGGTCTGGAATGAGGTGGACAGAATGGAAGATGCAATATGAGATATTGTCTACTTTTGCTCCTTTATTCCTTCTCTCTAGTCTGTGTTAGTGTGTAACTGACTCTCTCTGGTTCTGCTTTAGCCTGCTTTGAAGGGGTTAAAGCCACTGCTGATTGTTGAGGACAGAAGGAGAGAGGCAGTGTTTGTGAGGCAGAAAAGGAGAGCAAACTGTAGGGTGAAGAGTAAGGAGAATACCTGTGCATTCTTACCACTGCAAATACATAAAAATAGTACACATCTTCCTTATTCTAACCCGACAGTTTTTACACAATCAAAACTTGCCTGTACCCACTTTTCTTACTGCTTTAGCAAGTTTTGTGTCAATCACATGTCAATATTCCCTTCACGGCAACCTTTCCTTCCATGAGCTTTTCCTACTCCGTCTTCCTCCGACTTTTCCTACAGCTTGTAATAGCAAAGTGACCCCAAGTGAATCTGAGTGTCAAACCATCCCCTCTGCTGCTCCTGCCCAATCATGCATGGCAGCCTGTATAACATAACTCATATGAGGGCCCCTGTAATAGTGCTGCTGTTTGATCTGCTAGAATAACTCTGCGTATGTTCGCGTTGTCTCAGGTCACTCTGCCGAGCTCCAATCAATCACTGCTTGGCCGTCTGACTGACTGAAGCCACGATCAATGCTGCACACAGACAGGGACTGGCTCTAAAATACATGGCTCGGGGTCTGGGCTTACAGATTACTGCAAGACTCTGCGCTTGTCTGCTGCATAACAGAAAAACTTGAGCCTTTGGAGTTCCTTGAGAAAAAAAAATGGAGGAAAGGGCTGAGTCAGGGGGGTCAGACATAAAAGAGCAGATACTTGATCAAAGTAAATTTTAGCTGATAAGGCCATCCATCATGCTGATGATACATTTAATTCACAGTGACAGCATGCGGAAAGGAATGAGTTTGAGTGAGTGAGGCTGTCATGTTTGACAATACGCATAAAGTCTTATCTGTCAACTCGTCGGGAAAACTAGCCAGTGCAGCGGCTTTAAGTGCACGACTGGCGATGAACTCCTGAAGACTAGACAGGCTAGTTCTGGGCAATTATCAACGTGACTTTAATATGGAAAGACCTCACTGATACAGACAGCAACCTCTCGACAAACAATCAAACATATTTATACTCACTAACACAAAACTAGTCAATCTTCCTTTTCTTTACCTATGTGACTCAGAGGAAACCACCACGACACGTGCTGGGGCTGAACGACGCAGCACGTCTTGTAGACATTGCACTAGCAGGAAGTGACCCAGATGGCAGATCTGGAAGGTGGACTCCAGGTTGTCTTCAGTCAGCATATAGGGCTGAGTGCACACTGCTGCGTTACACACCAGAATGTGCAGCGGCCTATGGGAGGAAGAAAACAGAAAAACAAAACATGTTTGACTGATTGTGAAGTGAAAACAAACGGCCAAGGAAAAAGATTTCCTACCATATCAGGATGAAGAAGATGTAATGAGAGACAGAGGGAGGATTTTTTTTTAAAAGAGGAGAATTAGAGAAAAATGAAAGCAGAGAGAGGAAACGGGGTTTCTTATTCCAAAGTGCGGTAGACTTTAGAGGTCTCCAGAGACAGAGCATCAGTAATGCTGATATGATACAGAGGTTTCCAGTGCAACTCCCTATGGATACACAGCTACTGTAGATACCGAATACAGCTGGCTGGGATCCAAGAGCAACACCACAATGAAAAGCAATCTCAAACAGTTTCAACACACAGGGGTGGTGAAAGTAATGGATGTTGATACTGGCTCTGTGGAAGCACTTTGAGTAACCAAACCTACCAACACATCGACTCAGAAAGGCCAAGCAGAAGAAAACAGATCAAAGAAAAACCACGCGCTAAGTCATGGAATAAAAAAGGAGCTGGCATTATTAAAAAGGTCCAGTGAGAAAGCATATGTTTTAGGAGACGGAGACATGCAAAGCATTTTTATTCTTGCAGAATCCGTGTGGGCGACTGAGCAACGCTTCCCGCTCACACGGAAAGGGAAGGAGATTGCTGGATTGGTCAGGGCAGCGAGAGATCCTTGTCGGTGACAGCGTCGCTCCAGCGAGCTCAAAACCACAGTAACACAGTCGAACAATCCAAACACACCCCACCAATTTTTAATTTCTTCCATTAGAATTAATTATGAGGCCGAAGGCAATTTGTGTACCCTGTGTTTAAGACTGCCTACTGGATTAATTAAAAACTGGATGCTGGAAAATTAATGTGTGAATTGTTATGCCTTGCTATAATGAGCCATCCCATGCTATTACATAGTAGTGTACTGTACGATCACCTTCAGGCCTCTGAACACACAAGGTTCATTAAAGAGCACCAACCTAGGCACAAGTCAACTTAAAGAACGCCGACCTCAGCGCTTTATCGGCAACGCACACACTAGGAATGTGAGATATTTAAATTTTCGCCCAAAATAAAACAATTGAGGAAGACTCACTTAATTAAAAGAACATTCGTAAATAAACAACCTCTGCGACCTGAGTTTAATCCTGATAACACGAGATAGGAGAGTAAAAGTTGCTGTAATGCTCAGAAATTTGCTCAGAAATCGCTCTAAGCTTAAAAGTAGGCAAAAAAAAAAAAGACTGGTTGTTTTTGCCCCAGTGTTCACATGTCTAATAGAGTGTGAAGTACAGTAACAGTGTGCAAACCTCTTGGCTCCATCCCTAATTTAGTGGCTAGGGGCAGTAATATCACAGACACAAAGCCCGACCTCCTCAACCTTTCACTGCAGCTGTTGATTTAAACTAACGCTTACGGCACTTACACCTCTTTAGCATTGCATGTTATGACCTGTAAAGGCAAAAGAAAAACAAAGCATCACAAATTGGTGATCAAAAAACTCCACAAATAAACAACTTTCCTCTGGTCAGTGCAGCGATTTCTCCCATGCAGCTCAGATGGGCCTCTGGTGAGTCTGCTTGTAATGTAAAAGGCCTGTTAATTCGACTGCCCACCAGTTAGTCCCTCTCTCATAAGCGCAGGTCTAATGAATGTCTTTAATAGGCCTACTGCTGCACACCACATTCCCTCTGTCCACATTAAGACCTCACACAACACTGTGTGCACCGTGCAATCTCAGCGCTGGTCAAACGAGGGTGTTAACTACCGAACGGGGAGACATCAGTTTATATATTTACTTTAAATAACCCCCCTGGGTATGACCCCTGACCTCTATGATAATGTAGGCCAGCAGGAAGAGATTGCCTGTGTGAGCTTGGCTCGTACTGCTGGTCGTTAACGATGCACTTTGCTCCAAACACATATACAGTGGATATGAGAGCGCCACTCATTTTGACCCACATTTAAACTCGCACTACAGAAGCAACATAATAAGGGAGCAAGAAAATAATCCAACCCTTACAAGAGTATAAATGAATGGAAGAATTGTGGACGAAGGTTGTCTGGTTTGTATATAATTTTTAGTTATATTCATTTGTTTGTTTAGTTTTTAAAAATCCCCTATTACATTTTAAATGCTTGAAATTAAAACTGAACTCAGTAAAAACAAATCAGAGGTGAAAACAAATTCCACGTGTTAATTACGGACCGTTCAGTAGAAATTATATTAGGGCCTTCTGTCAGTGCCGTCCTCCATCAATTACATCCCAATGAAACTGCGCCGCATTCAACAATATCAATATCCAGGTAATTTCATTTCAATGGACAGGCAATTAAAGCAGAATCGGGGTCAATGGAACACAAAGCAGCGTGAAAGCCACTGACTAAAGCACTTAAAAGCAAGAGAGTGAGAAACGAGAGAAGGAAAAGAAAAAGACTCTGATTACATTTCACCTGTCAATGACACGCTGCAGGAGCATTATTGTGCATGTGCGTATGAGCATGTGTGTGTGTTTGTGTCTGTTTGTCTCTGTGTGTTTACAAGTGTGTGTGTGTGTGTGTCCGCGTATGTCTGTATGCACATATTTGTGCGTGCTGTGTTTGCCGCTCCTGTGCATGTTATGCCTGAAGACATACGTGCAGTAATAGAGTGGTGGTAGACTCAGACAGCTGCCCAGTGCCATTCACAGCTCAGAGCTCCCAGCCTCCACTCTGCTCTGTTCGCCTTCTGATGAGAATTAATGTACTCTGACGTCCCCTGGGAGTCCCGCACTCCCCCCCCCAACAGCACGGCTAATGAAGAAATACAACCTTGCCAAAATACTGAGGTGGAGAGAGAACGACACAGACGTAGAGACGACACGAGAGAACGGGAAAGAAAGAGAAACTAAGGCAGATAAAACATTTGTAAACAGTGATATGCAAAAAAACTAAAGTGTGAGAGGACTGAGGAGTTGAAAGGAGGCCAGCATAACTTGAGTGTGGGTGGGAGGGATATATGTAAGCGCAGGGAGGGAACTATAGGACACAGAGTGAGGGAAGCCACCGTGAGGTTTGGCTGTGACCCAAGACACGTGTCCTGGATGGCCATAACCTGCCCCAGGGCTGCTACGGGCGATGACTGCCCGGCCTCTCCCCAAGGGGCTCCCTTGACACCAACACCCCCTGCGCACACACAAAAACACACTCCCCTGCCTAGAGACCTGCGGGTGGATGAGCCGTATGGATGATAGAAATTATGACCCCAAAATAGCAACCGTACGAGCGGCCACGGGACGCAAGACACATGCTATAAAAGCTGACCACCACAAAATAAGTGCCATAAAGTGTGTTCGACCAATGTCAAGCAAATCGACACAAATAGACACACTCACTCCTGGGGCCTTCCCCATATGGTGTCCATCAGTAACATTTTAGATGTCCTTTCAGTATGGCATAATAAAAGAGATAAATAGTTGCTAGTCCTAAATAAAAGACGCTATTTAGTCCCCACAGTTTTAAACTTAACTGTTTATTTATTCCTGCTCTTAGACTAAAAATAAGTCTGAGCAACTAATAGGAAATGCCATCATTTTTTTTAGTTGGGCACGCTGCCATAACTTTAATTAATAAATCATTTTTAAACTCTTCTCCTGTGTTTTCCACACTGGAGATTCTCCATGTTGTTTGATTGTCCAGGTCCAACATCACGCAGGGCAATTTTCCATATGCAGGGCACCTGCATGAGCATCACCATTTACTGTGTGGTTTTGTGGGACCAATGCCAGCTGAATTCAGTTGTGACCAGCTCAAAGGCAAGAGTAAGAGGAGACAAAATTTATAAACGGCATCTATTACACCACGCCTGCTTGATCCTAAAAAACACACAACCTGCATTTCCAAAACAAGGAAGGGATGAAAATGAACAACATTGTGTTTAATACTTACAGCTTCATTGCTTTGAAAGATTCAGCAAATTCCCTGACGCTGCGCAGAGAAGCCAGGTTGCACATCATTGCTTCAACTCTCGCTTTGTGCTGTTGAGAAAGAGAAAACAATATGATCAGAAAAATACAGACGTAACAGCAAATTAAAAGACATTTCAAAGACTTTTTTTTAGTTTTTTGCCCATTTTAATCGTTGTTGTCAAAGGAAATAGTGATCACAAGTAGAGGCTGAATGTTTGCATTCTGTTTTATTTCACAGGACAATGCAGTGATTCAAGTCCTGGAAGAGTGATCGCTCTTTGCTTGTAGTCCCCATGTTTTCCCCACTTTTACTTTGATGAGAATCCAGGTTTCCAGTTACCGTCCTGTCTAAAGACTCTTAAGAAACTCATAAGTAGTGACAGTGTCCTCTCCCTGCATGTTTGGGTGTGGCTCATCTCACACCATATGTTGGCAGACAGATAGCAGAGAAGAAGAAAAAGATAAATGACTTGAGAAGTGAATGCATAGCTGCATTTACACACTGCTGAAGACAGGCTAAATATTCATCATCCCCTCCATCCTACTGTAGCATTGTGCTGCAGGGCAAAGGCCTCAGCAAAAATGCATGCAAGGACCATATCTGTTTAATAAAATCATACAACGGGGTTCATCAAGTCTGTCAACTCACAGTCTTTCCATGCCTTTCTGTCTCTCCCCACTCTTCCCTTTATCTGCTGAGGCCCTCGACCAAAAAAGCCAGATTCGGTCTACCTGCCCATATGAGCTCACATGGGACTCTGGCATATGTTAGCACGAGTGCGTGCCGCATGAATTGAGATGGAGCATGTAGATTCCAGACTCCAGAGCATCCCTCATGCTCTGGTCTCTGGGCACAGTAGCACCAGGTATTCCTCCTTCCTCTCACCCGCCATCCCAGAGGAACACTGTCAGCTCAGATTACACCCGGAAAGGCGTTCAGCTCGCCATCCGCCACCACTGGTGTTGCTCCCCTGCATCCCCTCTGATCTGATCTCCTGTCTCTGGGTGTCATATGGGAACGTCTTTCCTCAGCGTGTCTGTCTCAGCACAGCTAAGTACACATGACACTCACAGCAAGGACGCTCCATGGAGCAGTGAGCACAAAGAAAACAATAAAGGGTTAAGAGCATCTTCTGATGGAAATGTGATTCTTCAGGCATTTTACAGACACCTTAACTGCCCCAGGGTGTGTTTATACATGCATACAGAGGCACACGCACACCCGCACACGCACACAACAAATTCAATGTTGTGACTCAAGGGTAAAACCACGCTATCACACCATTATCTATGCCTGAATTATTCTCTTGATGCCACTCTATGCCATTATATGGATGCTATTACAGAGCATTAAAGGGCTGATTATGGCTATTATAGATATGATTATAGGGTACCTGCTTATATGATCTGTACACAGCAGTAATCACAGGTGAGAGGAGACAACTGTCTGATTTAATTGCTTATATGTGCAGTGTGCATTTATACTCTTTGCCACTTTCACAAGGTATACATGCACATAAATGCAGGTGGATTGAAAAGTAATATTTGGTCACCAAAGTAACAATATAGTAGGAAAACCTCATTTGTAACACATATGTTTAAAAAAAATCATCTTCAGTTGTTCATTTTACTGTGAGAAAAATGAGGCATTACCTCCGAACAAGGTCAGAAGAGACAGCAGTGTGATAATTAACAGGTCACTATAAGGCCTCCTCAACAGGATAGCTCTCTATGTGTGTATGACCAGCAGAGAAGATGAGAGCAGGTGTCAGCTTGACGAACACATATCCTCTTCTCTAGAGACATGGAGGGAAAGGAAAGGAGAGATGGAGTAATGGGAGACCAGAGGGAGGATAGAGGGGGGGGTTGAAGAGGGGCCACTGGAGCAAATCCAGCAGGGAGAAGGTGAGCAGCCTGCCTGCCCGCCCGCCTACCCTCCCCCTGCAGATTGAAGTCTTGCGAAGAAAATAAAGTTTATTGCCTGGAAAGAGGGGGGAAAAGCATGTAAAAAGCATTAAAGCGATGGAGGTGAACAATTAGACAGATGGCCAGGTTTTGGAAGGAGAAGAAGAAAAAAAGGAGTAGAAAAAGACGGAGAACGCATAGACGCAATCGTTCAGGGTTTTTATGAGGACCCTGACAACTCCTGGTCTCTTCAAGGGCGAAGGAAAAGTGAGAGGCAGCGAAGCCTCTCTGGTTAACTCTGGAGCAATCGCTGAGTAGGCAACACCACAGAGCTCGGCTCAGGGTGACAGTGCTTACCGCCCCCCAGCTACACACAACCTATCGCTACAACTAAAACAGAAAGGCTAATTCTGAGAGAAACGCGGTAAATAAGCTCCAAAAATGAGAAACCGCTGCAAAGTGAGCGTCCTCGTGTCTACGCGTTCGCAAAACAGGCACGTGTTCAGGACAGAAATCGGCAAGGTCACCGTGAAGATAACATCACCTGATGCCTCAGACTACCGCTGCTGCCAACACCTCTCACCTGTCACCTGCCATCAAACCCAGAAGACGAGCTATCTGTAACAAGACAATGACCTTTAGGACTTTCACCATAAGGAAGGAGAGAAGGAAGGACTAAGAGCAAGGATGGAGGCAAACAGTTAAACTTTTCCTCGGTGAATACAGAAAGTTGGCAACTGCAGAGGTTCTCCTTCTCTATCCTGCTCTTTTCCGCGGCGTACCCAGGAATGACATGTGATCACTGCTGAAAGAAAGATGGAGAAGGAGGAGAGGATAGATGGGGAAGCGCTCTAATACAATTATAACCGGGGCCATCCAATCCAATAAAATGAAGAAGTATTAGAGCAGGGGAGTCCCATCCTGTTCAATAAGATACTGGACCACTTTACTAACTCTTAAAACACACACACACGTGTGGGCACACACAGGTGCACACACTTCGCTGACCCCTTTAATAGCACAGAAGCCACCCCTAATGGACGCAAGCAAGTGGAACCACCAAATAATACACTGTCTTAATGCACTAGACTCAATCTCATCCCCCTCTCCCCTTATCCTTCTCAGCCTTCACTCTCATACTTTAACCCCTGCTTCCATCTTCCCTCACCTTGTGCTGCTCACCACCTCAGCGCCTCTTATAGATCACCAATGCAGAGGCAACACTTAAGGAATCAGAAAAACCCCTATATATACACACACAAAACACTTAGCCCGCAGACCCCGGTTAACGCTTCAGACGAGGAGAAGAAGCGAGTAAAGGAAGACAACGCAGTGTCGAATTCCTGTGGTTTGAAGTATCACTCCTGAATATGAGATTCGTAATATTAATATAAAACAACAGCAGTATAATATGGACATATCCTAACCAGCAGGTGCAGAGGTAAGGTGTTGTAATGGCGATGAAAGTGAATGAGCAGGGAAGACACCATGTGAAAAGGGCACCTTATAAAAGCAATTAGAGAAATGACTTTGAGCCCCTCTTCTTGCTCTGTAGATTAGAACAGGCCTCGGAGGGAGGAACACCAAGGAACTCAGATCTCTATGACCTTGGCCGCAACACACCATACTAAATTGGCCATCAGCTTTTAAGACTCATATCATAGATATATATTTTTAGCAAAAAGAAAAAGAGAGAAGGAAGGAGGGGGGGGGGGGGGGGACTGTGGAATGTGCAGGTCATATATCATCCTGTCACAATTATGACGTTTGTTCATAAATACCAACCAATCTCCTCTCCACCTGGCTAAGTCACATGCACTTGTGCCTATGCATGCGCTATACACCGACAAAGAAATTAGACGCACACACACACACACACACCCCACGTGTGGAGAACGCACATGCACATCGCAAATAAAGAAAAGGACACATCTGGCTGGGTGCCCTACCACGGGTCTGAGAACTGACCTCCACACACAGACAAAAAGACTGAATACACACTCAGGTAACGACATGCATTCGAGCACCTAACGCACAAATGAAAGCACGCGTTCTGCACATTACAAACACTAAACACACACAAACAAACAAAATGCACGCCCGCACGCGCGCGCACACACATCCACTTACTCACTGGCATGCACGCACACTGCAATTAATAGGGAGGCAGGTCTCTGGTGAGGAAGAGAAAGTGCCTGTTCAGCACATACAGGCAGAATATGCAATTTCCTCCAGTTAAGTCTGTATTAAATTGATTTCTTCTTTCTCTGACACGGACTGGGTTTTTCCCCTCTAATGAAAGCTGGATAATCTACAGGTTTTCCCTTTCCTGAAATCAAGTTACAAATCAAGCAATTGCAGGGGCAGATATGGGAAAGGTGAAGGAAGGACATGGGATGATTTTCCAGATGAGAAACATGAAGAATGAGGCGCCCACGTGCCGCTGCTCGTAACGTGGGCATCAGGGGCACCTGACACGCGCGCGGGGAGCAAAAAGGCCAGGCCTCGGTTAAGTACTCAGTTGACATTTCTGGTCAGCGACGGCCGTGCCATGTTAGTAAGCGCGGCTCTAATAACTGTAATTAATTAAATGCGTGAATTAGTAAGCACTTCAATGAGCTAATCATTCATTCAAACCTGTCAGGAAGTCACATGGAGGCGGAAAGCTGGAGAAAAGCGCGCTGAGCAGAAAATGACTTTAAAAGAACTTAAAGATGAACAGTAAAACAAAAGGTATTTAGTTACTTTAATGGGTAAAAGCAGCAGTACAAAAATATACGAATAATTAAATTCAATCTTTTTTAGCAGCAATGTGTAATTTAAATAAACCAAAAGTAGTCATTACAGAGGCAACGTTACATAATTACTTTTTATAACACCTATTAACTAATGTGTAAGCAGAATTTTAATGGTATAGCTGGTAGAGGTGAAGCAGTTTTAAGTACTTTATATGCTGGTGTAATTTAATTTTACTGAATAGTGAGGCGTTACATTTTATACGCTCATTACAGGTTTTCAAAATCTTTAACTTTAACTGTCAAATAAATTTAGTGAAGTAAAAAGTGCAATATTTCCCTCTAATGTAGTAAAGCGGGAGTATAGAACAGCTTCTGTAATGCATACAATGCATTATAATACAGCATAATATAATTCAGCAAAAACTG